TGTATGGTTGAAGCTTCGCGAATCGAAATTCGCGACATAAGTTACAAACAGGTTAGTGAAAAAAGTTTTAAAGATTTTTTAAATACTACGAAAATTAATACTTGCTTAAAATATTGCGAAAATTGTCTGAAAACTAAAAAAATTAAAAATGTAGGTTCATTTAAGTTCACCGACTAGTGGGAAAGGAAGATGGGAAGATGCAGATCGAAAAAGTTTGCTAAATGACTGAAATTCATTTAATTAATTTTTGATTAATTGTGGAATGATGCTTGTAACGACAAACTTCAGCACTTTAAAATTTACAAAACGCTCCTCATAACTCATTACAAAAAATGTTGCTGCCCATTTACCACGAGTTGGCTCACGGATTACATACATATACAAAAAACGTGAGTGTGACGTGACCTGAAAGAAACGACTATACAACTTTGCAGTTATCTTAATAATACATAAGTAGTGAATGATTTTACTAACGAATTGTCTGATTTATAAGTAACTAAAATAGATTAGAATTAATTTGTTTAAAACGATCAGTAATTCACTTTTGTAAATTCACTTTCCTGTTAGCATAATTTCTTGTTAGCATAATAATGACTGCTGCACATCTGCAGGATGCGTGAAGGTCAACTGTCATGAATTAATAAAACGGAAGTGTCGAAGAAAGAATTTGATAAGCAGAAATTGCAATACAAATAGTCCAACTTGTGGTTTATAAGAGCAATTCAATGCTGAAGTGATAAATTTATTCTTTTTTTAAATGATTTCCTATTTTACAAATTTTAAAGCTTTAAAGAAAATTCCTTATTATGGTCATTGGACAGTTCAGAATAATTGGCAGAGATTTCCTTCTAAGCACATACGCAAATGCCACCATCATTTTTTATTAACGCCGAACTAAACAGAGGCTATCAAGAACAGACATGAGATGCGAGTGTGACATATTAGGACAAGAGGAGATGGGTGAGTGCGGTTCGTGTTACATAGTGACGATGGTACGTGAGTGCGTCAATGTTCGGTTGTTTCGCGAAAGTTTTAGACTGTCTCTGATTACTTGAAGGAGAGATTATGGAACAGAAAAAGTTACGCTTTGAAGGATGCAACTTCTTCAGACAACGACTTGCCTATTCTTTACTAAGTGGTCACTCGGTGACCATTTCCGGGATACGTCCTTATGATAATGAGCCTGGAATAAAAGGTATGTGCTTCTTTGATATTTGTCTATTATGTCATATTTGATAATTGAATTAACTTGCTTCATTTTTTGTTAGATGCTTGATATATTTTTTTCGATTAACTTTATCGATGATTTCAACTATAGTTTTCTTCCAAAGCTTGATGTGGATTTTTGAATTTTTTCGTTCTTTTTTAGTTTCGAAATTCCAACTGTTTACGGATTTCTAAGCTATAATTTCTTTTATTATTATTCTTTGCTTTAAAAAGCTTTTCTTTTAAAAAGTTGGTGAACTGTGCGTTTTAGATTTCGAATCAAAACTTTTACTGTTATTGGAAAAGATAACTAATGGTACGCGAATCAGGATTAGCCAAACAGGTTCAGTTAATTTTTACTCAATTTTTGTATGGTTTCGAAATTACGTCTAATTATGGTTTAAAATTTTTCTTTCCAGGTACCGAGGTTTCATTCTCACCTGGCATGATCACGGGTGGAAAACTCATTTTCGATTGCGGTAGTGACCGATGCATAAGGTTGATTTTTCTCAATCTCTTACATTTTAGATTTCAATTCATTCACGTTTAATAAACTATTTCCCGTATTTTTGGTGGATAGTTTCACTTAGTAATTATTTTCTATTCTCATATTCGACTTATTTACTCATTTATTTACTTCACAGATGACTAGATTTGTTCGGTCATCAACTTTGAGGAATTCCTAAAGGAATTGTTGATTATTCTGATTTCTTTTTGAATATTTTTAGTTGCTCTTTTCCAGTTGTCATTACTCACTACTCACTATAATTCTCCTTGAAACTATATATGTTTTTGCAGCTATTTTCTGGAACCTTTGTTAATGCTTGCTCCCTTTTGTAAGTATCCAATCAACATAAAACTTCAAGGAATAACCAACGCTCCATATGAGTTGAGCGTTGACACCATTCGTGCAACATGGCTTCCAGTTTTCAATAAATTTGTATTCGCGTCTGATTTGCCAGAAATTAAGGTTTGATAATTTTCTTCCTTCGGCACTGTTAACTGGTGTGGAAATTTGATTGTCATTATATTATAATTTGAGAGAGAAATGAAATTTTTTTAGATTGTTGCTCGAGGTTACAAACCGGATGGTGGTGGATGCGTACTGTTGACTTTACCAATAATAAGAACCCTCCGTCCGGTACAGGTATCATTGTAATACAATCTTTTCTTGTCTTTGATTGCAAGATGTTTTTTTTCTCTTATGTTGAGATATTCTTCAAGTTTGCTTTTCCGAAAAAGTATCTACACGATATTTTACTTTAAATCATGTTATTTTTACTACAATTTAGTGCAAAATACTGGGAAAAATATGCAAAATACGCGGAATCGCAACTGTTTCCAAAGTTTCTCCATCTATAGCACATCGTATAATTCACGCAGCAAAAGAGACTCTTCGTGATTACATTGCTGACATTTATATCACTGTTGACCAAAGAAAGGGAGCATCTGGTGGAAGGTATTGATATTATGCCACTTTTCAACTTTTTTTGCCTATTCTTTTCGTTTAAATATAGCGAACTTTTCGAGACTATGGGGTTGTATGGGGACCCGATTATTTTCGGCTGTAGTGTTTTTAGCGGATTTGCAGTTGTGCAAATCGGTAACAAATACTTTGCTCTATTAGGGAATGGGAGTGGAAAACGAATAAATTTGAATTATAGACAATGAAATGTCTATAAATCTCCAGTAGTGTCTATTTAGAATAGTTTTAGAGTTAAATTACATTTTTTTCAAAAAAAAAGTGAATTTTCAAATAATTGTTTGCTTTTTTGAATAATAGTGCTTAATGATTGGTTCTTTAGTTCTCCTGGTTTTGGTCTTTTTTTAACTGCCGAAACTACGGAAGGAATCGTTTATCATGGTGAAGCTGTATCAAAACCGAAAGATGAACAAGGCAACCCAGCTGTGCCGGAGGACGTTGGACACATCGCTGCTTGCCAGTTGTTGGATCAGATTTTTGCAGTTAATTTTGTTCTTTTTCACTGATAAATTATACTAAAAAATTGTTGTTATTTGCATAGTTTACAATTTGCAGGGGGGATGTGTTGACACTACAGCTCAAGCTCTAGCGGTGACTTTCATGGTACTCTGCGAAAAAGATGTCAGCACATATCTGTTTGGGCCTCTTTCTGCCTACTGGTTAGTATCATTTGCTTTTTTGGAAATGCATTAAGTGCTTTCTTATTTTTCACAGCGAATAGATCCATATTTCTAATAATGGTTCTTTTTTCGAGTACCTCTTGCTTATGACGAAATTTTTCATGAAACATACCGCAGTCTTCTGCAGTGTAAGACTTAAACTGTGTCAGAAATGTTTGTCAACAGACATTCTAATATTGCGGTCAGCAGACGATTTGTTCCTCATTTTATCAGAATCTGCTCCGTATTTTCTTTAGTAATTTCTTTGTAATTTTCAGTATATACACATTGCGGAACTTGAAGAAATACTTCGAGATAACTTTCAAAATAGATAATTGGAACGAGCTATGTGGAAATGAAGAGCAGAGGTTAGGTTCTAATAAAAAGGTACTGCTGACTTGTATAGGTATTGGATTCAGTAATTTGAATAAAATTGTATTGTAATTTTAATCCAACATTATATGTGATTTTGATGAACTTACTGGTTTTCAATTTCCTCTGATGTGCAGAATATGAATGATTTCAATTTTTCATTTTTTTTAAATTTTGAATTTTATATTACGAGAAGTCATAAACATGAAATTAAGTGTAAATTGTCAGGCTTCTGGTTTAGCATTTTATTTTCTTTTTTATATGGATTGTTGATTATAATAAAAAGTTTTACATTCAAAATTTGTTCTATGTTATGTTGTCTCAGTCAGTTAAATTCTGCTTATTCATTCGGAAGGAAGATTATCAAAGCACTTTCTCATAACGAGTAAGAATGTTTCTGATAGTGCATCCAAATGTCATCAGGTTGATGGAAGTACCAGTCGTACCGTGGGATGATTTCCTGATAAAATGTGCAAGTGTAGGTGGTGAAGTTAATATGCCTGGGCTGCTTGAATCTGAGTGGGAATGGCTTAAACAGTTGTGCGAACTGGCCGATGAAGATTGCTGTTCAGAAGTTAATAATTTATTCCAGCAAGTAACATTCACTCTGAGGTTGTGTTCATTTTTCTATTTAGATGTCTGTCGCTTTAATAATAAGTTATTAGTCTGAGTTAAAGAATTGCCTGCAAAATTGGGAAGTTTAACATCAAAAAAGAAAATCAAATCTGGTCAACATGCACGTTACCCTCTGTTTACTGTTTTATGCAGCAGTTAAGCTTTGCCGAATTTGAAAGCGTAATCTTTTGAACAGTGATAATGATCATGATTGGATTGTTATGCTTTTTTATGTAAGAAACGGTTCTTTGTTACTTTCCAATAAACCTTCTAAAATTTGTTTCCATGTACGTAATTATGATTACATGATGTAATTATATAATCATAGAGAAATGTATTCATTTCTGTAGATTGGATGCTAGCAGTTATTTTTTGAAGCTACACTGGACTAAATTTTTTCCTGCAGTTAGTCCTGAAGTGGTCACCAATTTGGGTTCTGCATTTCAACATTCATGGCAAAATAACGATACGCTTTGTTCGTTGTATCATCGATTCGTTGAATGCTGTATGAGGTACAGCGATGTTGCTGTTATTGATGATTCTCAGTTCTTTCTAGCTTAGGATAGAAAATATGGGAAAATAAGCTAATTACATATGACAGTTGTTATTGCCAATTAACACCATGATCTATTTTTTTGGTATTTTAATTGTATAAATTAATTTTAGGATTGATCAGGCAGTGAAACTGTGCTCAGATGTCAAATATCCATTTACGTTTATGAAGTGGGCGATCGATGAAGACGACCCCACCTGTGTAAGCATTTATCTTTTGTTCTCTTTTTGGCCCAAGATTCTTCAAGTATAGTTTTTGTTCACATTTTTCTGTGGCATTATTTACTTTTTCAATCATTATATATGTTTCACGATTATCACAAATATTGACCAGTTTTGTAGTCTTTAACGCCGTAACATAATAATATAATTGTACACCATCCGTAGCCGTGTGAAGGCTTTCCCATAGAAATTTACGATCTCAGTTGTAAAATGTCTCTTTAGTTCTTCATTATTGTTAAAATGTAGTTTGCTTTATCTTTTAATTAAAATTTGTACATTGCAGATAGCCGTTACATTGTTATGCAAAGAATGGCATACAAGAAAAAACTTTCAGCTGTTTTTGGTGGTTGACTGGTTAGAACCCAATACTTTTCCGCGTGAACTCATTTCTTCTGCTCCCGAATTTCTTCAGGGCTTGCGATTTGATGAATGGGATTCATCAAATGTGTTTGCTGATAATTTGAATCGAATTTTCCGTAATATAATCTCATAGATGCTTGCTTGAACATTGAAGCCATGTGATCGCAATGGTTTTGAAAATAGGCATTAAGATATTAAAAAATGTTCCAGAAATGTCGTCCAAAATGACAACTTGTTGTTTCAATAGAAAATGAATTTAACCTGTGAATTAATTGATATAAAGTCCGACTATCAATGGTAGAGGAATTGGAATAAAATAGAATAATGGGAGAAAATGGTAGTGGTTTTATTTCATAATGCTTCATAGTATAAAGGTTTATTCGATTCTGAAATATTTTGCATAAAGTTTAATAAGCATTTAATATGTGGTCTTTTCTATTTTTTTGGTCTTATATTTTAGAATTAATCAAGAGAATACTTTATGTAACTATTTGTTTTGTGCTAGAAGGAAGCCTTTGTAACATAATTCATGTCGAAAAGAAAGAAAAATGTTGCACTAAAAGTACCTGAAAATAAAGTACCTGAAAATACGGTTATGGTGGCGGAACATCTCAAAGAACCAAAAAGTATTATTTTCGAAGATGGCCCAATGAGCAATGACGATTTCACCAATGAATTTCATTCGCTACCATGCAAGATTAAATACGATGGACCAGCAAAAGTATCACAGTATTTTATTACCGAGAAATTAGGAGGTGGCTTTTCTTATTTATCATCAAATTGTAAATTCTTGGATATATCTAATTCATGAAGATTAGTTATGGTTACTGTGACATCTCTAGCCAAGTAGGACGAATTGTAGATCGGAAGACTGTGCTGAATTGACAGGAAGGTTTTGTTAGCATTGAGATTCTAATGATTTATAAATGTCAAACTTCGTAAATCTTTAGGAAGTTAAGTATGATTTTTGTTTTTTCGTAGCGTTTGATCCACCTTAGTAAAAAGTATGGCAATGTTTTATAGATGAAAGAAGAGTCGCAACATTTCGAGGACGTATTTTGAATGGAGTAAAGCAACAGTTTCCAAATGGCTACCGCTTATATATTGTTGTAGAAAAAGACAATAAAGGTTTGTGCTTGTGTAAGTATATTTTTCCAGTATCTGCGCTCAATCATTCATTTTTCCATGTAAAGTAGGGAGACTTCAGCTATTGAGAATCTTCTGCAACTTGATTATGAGTTCAATAAATTGCAGATAACAGTCGTATTTTCGAAATTGCTGGTTCAGCAATATCATTTATGCGATGGGAATATGATCGTAATACCAGTTATCAGTCATCTCTTGTTCGAGCAATCGACTATGTCAATATTGCGGAAGCATTTGCTAAGGATGATGATTGATTAGATTTCTTTAAAATGAATGCATTTTGGTCTTCACTGTAAAAATGTTCAGTTATTTTTAAATAGTTATGATGTCAAAATTAGGCCATTATGAGCAAAGTTTAATTCATATGGGTTTTTGCTTATTGTATCTTCCGTTTGTTACGTTTAGACAGTGATGATCAAGATTGAATGAAAATAATCAACATTGGTGCTGCTTCGTTGTTAAATTCAAACTTCCTATCTTTTTTTTTTTCAAATAAATTTTATATGTCGTATGTCGCGTGAGATCCCGATAATTTAATGTATCTTGAAATGATGATAATATAACGTTGAAGTGATCTCCATTGCTTCATTTTCCCACTGATTTACGATCGATAGATTGGATTACGGGCCTTATTTATCGAATAAATGATATTCTAAAAATGAGAGCGGAAGTAGTGGTGGTTTTAACCTTTATTGAGGTTTAAAACATCTGCAAGCCGATGATATGTATGGAGATGGAGATAGCAAAATTTGTTTCTTGAAGCGAGATGTCATCCATATGCCGAGTTTGCAGGCCTTTCACATGCTGTCCATATTGGCTTACGGGATATCAACAGTTTGGTATGAACGCTAATAACAACACTGACTGTAATTATGATTGCTGCGAGGAGTACTGTTTTACTTCTCTTATATCTTTGTAATCAAAATTTGATATACTACCAGGTAGCAGTTATCAATAACTATAATTAAACAATTCCTTGGTCTTGAAGAAAAAGGATTGCATATCACTTTAGGTGTTGATATACAGTGCTTATTTACTGCATCAAGGATGATAAATAAATAGAATTAAATAAAATGCAATTTTCTTTGTTTTAGCTTTCAAATGCAATTTTTAATGTGATGCTATGAGAAATATGTTATTTACAGGTATATGGAGAACCTTTAAGTGTTTTCGTGGGTGCTGGTTCAGCAATCGCTGCTTCATTGAGCATTTTCAGTTACTATGTTCGATGCAAACTTTTTGAATGTTGCAACAGTCATTGGGTAGAAGGAAATTATACAGGTAATGTTTTCTATTCAGTATGTATAAGCATTTCCTGTTTGCTATTTATTTCATGTTTGAGTTCTTGCTGTTAATTGAAAAAATATTTCAATTTTGTATAATTTGTATAATTTCCCTTCATTCATTTCAATTTATATTTTATATAAATTTATGAGCAGTCAGTATTTATGGGTTTTGTTAAGTGCACGACAGTTTGTGGTTCTAGTCATCATGATATGATTTGAAATATATATTACATGTTATAAGTTAGAATAATGCAAGTGTTTTGTAAAAAGTGATGACCATAAAAATGTTTGAATTATTAAATTGAAACAGTGGATAGATTTAACATTTCTACTTCAAATCTTAAATTTTAGGCTTGCAGCATTCTATGCACACACGATTATATGGGCAACATCTGGCCAAGGAAACTATAATAACAGCCGCAATTGCGCATTGGAAAAATCCGTAAGTTCGTTTTCCTTCAATTTATTGTGATATGCATGAGTATTCGTTATTTTCAGGTGTTTTTCGAATTAAAAATCTTCAACATGAATTATAGGTTATCAAACTGAAAGTGCTTATTTCGTATTGTATTTCCAGAAATCCTAAAAAGGCTTTGGTGATGTCATTTCATGGATGGACTGGTTGTGGCAAAAATTATCTTAGCTCCATGATTGGCGAGAACTTATACATGTTAGTTTAATGTTTAAAAAATTTCTTAAAATCCAAAATTTAACCGAATTTTTTCTTTTTTTGAATTATCACCATCACCACTTTTTGCAGAAATGGAATGAAAAGTGAATACGTTCATGTTTATATTTCGACACTGCATTTCTCAAACTATTTAGAAATACCACTTTATCAGGTAGATTGCTTGCATTTCATTTTCCTCTCACATGCAAAGATTTGGTGATTATGACTATACATTTTAATTTATTTGGAACATATAGATGCAGTTACGTTCATGGATACAAGGGAATGTATCGAAATGCGAGCGAAGCTTATTTATCTTTGACGAAGTAGACAAAATGCCTGCGAAAGTAATTGATGCCTTAAAGCCTTTTTTGGACCACTATGAACATTTGGAAAGTGTTGATTTTCGAAAAAGTATTTTTATTTTTTTGAGGCAAGCTTTTTGCTTTTTGTATCAACTTTTTACTGTTCGGTTTTCATTTTTATTTACCTTATAATGCCAAACTGATTTATTTTTAGCACTCTAGAATATGTCCTATAGCCAGGCTTGTTTTTTATCGGCGGATACAAGAAACCATCACTGATAAATCAAAATTTATTCACTAGAAATGACTGGTGCTGAGTCCAAGAGTTATGGATTTCAAGTATATAAGCATAATGCGTATTATTTTGTGAATTAAATTTTGTAAATGTTGCTTGTCCATGACGGTGATTGGGTAACTTTTTCCGAAATTAAAAATTGATGTCGCCATTTTCTTAAACAAGAAATAGATCATTTACTACACTGATTTTCAAATCCCTAGCTTTAAATAAGATTCAGAATTTTTTGCTGGACAGTAATTCATCTTACTGTAGCTTTATGTAGAGATCCATGATTTAAATTACATTTGCAGTAATTCTGGAAGTAATGAAATAGCGCAGAAAGCACTTCAACATTATCAAGATGGAAAAATAAGAGAAACAATAACACTGAAGGAGATGGAAGATGTTGTTATGGCTAGCGCATTCAATACTGAAGGTAAGTTTTGCTTTTCAATTTATCTCACTAAATATAGATAGAGTTTTCATTTTATTTCACTAAATAAAAATAGCCTTGAAGTTTTCAAATAAGTAAAGGATATTATTATACTATAAAACATGAATACGATTCTATGTTTTGATGCGCTACGTTTACGTCTCAAAATATTGAACTTGCATCTGTAGCAATCTCAAAAGCACACAGCAGAACAGCTAAAATTTCAAAAATATAGAGTATAAATTAAATCCAAATAATTTTTGATTACTATTAGTTTTAATTTCTTCATGAGGAAAAATGTAAGTTAAAGTTTTTTCGATTCACCCGCTAAAAATGAGTGGATTGGTCTCAGTACATATCTAATTAGTTAGTTCCCTATCTCTTAATGAAAATGTTTCAAAACTTCAGGTGGGCTAAAAATGAGTGAATTGATCTCAGCACATTTGATTGATCACTTTGTTCCTTTCTTACCTCTAGAAAGGAGACATATATTGCTTTGTATCCGAGATTATATGCTTTCTCATGAATTCACGCCAACAGATGAACGTATCACTGCTATTGCTGATTCTTTGCAGGTAAAATATCTTTTCCAGAATATTTTTCTCCCTAATTGAGTTGAATCACTAAATGCTTTCTCATGATAAAGAACATTCTCATTGTCAAAGTAAACTAAACCTAGGGAAATGGATACATCTTTATCACCAAATGTTTTCTTGTTGAGATTATCTTTTTCAGTACTTTCCTAAAACAAATCCGATCTATTCTTCATCTGGTTGTAAACGGGTTGCTCAGAAGACTGAGCTGTTTATATCTGCAGAACGCGAAAGAGAACGACAGCGTTTTGAAAACTTTCAAGATGATGACGTATTATAAATTATCTCCCCATTATCTTTTCCATGTTTTAATTAAATTGACTTCTAAATTGTATTTCATGCATGCTTCTCACTGTTAGGTTGTTAAGTTCCCTTAAAGCTCCTACAATCAAATTTTGCGGCAGCTTTTGGGAAGTTCATGAAAGATCGCTAGTCTATAATGCACCGATTATTGGGAATAACGCTAGTAAATTATCTCAAATTGTCAGTCCGTTGAAGGAAGAGAAGAGCTTCAGTTGATGATAGTTTTAAATTAGCAGTAATCAACATTATACGGACAAAATATCAGGAATAGGAATGACAATCATGTTTCCATGACTTCAGATTATCATTCTTATAACTTATTTCAGATCACCATTCTTATTTATATTTTCTTAAGCATGATATTCCTGTCGGCAGCTGTTTTTCATACGAGTATAATAAGCCGATAATAATGTCAATCTTTTATAATATAATGCCTGCCACAAATAATGAATCTTTTGCAACTCTGTTTTTGAATATAAAATTAGCGATGATTTTAAAACTTTTATATTTATTTCCATATTCGGAATAAAACATTTTTATGTAAGCATGAATTATAATATTCCATGAATTTATTTCATTTAGTGAGCTATCATCAGAAAAAAATCATGCAAAATATGGTTCAAAGTAAAAATGGAATAAAAACCTATTAAAAAAGACAAAGTACAGTCAAAACGGTTCGTACACAAATGAGATTCTGACCACACAAATAACCTATTATCGATCGCAGAGGACTGAATCATTCCATTAATGTTAGCTTAGAAGGCATGGAAATGTGATGGATTGTCATTCCATTAATATATGCTTCTTTTGATTCTCTGATATCATTGAATAAATTCTATTCATTAACCACAAATCTAACATCCCACTATGCCAATCATTTTACCACGAATTTCAATAATTCCAAAAGCCTAAATATTTCGACTATAAAATAGGTGTAGCATGAACAGCAAGTGCTCGAATTGCCCGTAACCGTTCAACAGCAAGACCAATGTAAGGTGGTCCCTTTTCTTCTTCTTCACGCCTCCAAACATTTACCGATAGTTGTGCCCGTAAGATTAATTTCCGTATAAGAACAGCAGCCTGCTGATCCGGCAGAAAAGCGCGTGAGATCGCCAGCCATAATGCAATTTCTTTACGAGCATGAACAGTCACCAATAAATGTTCATCATCTTGTGGTACTACCTAAGAATGCAAGCCTATAGCAGTAAAATTTGTTCAAACGACTTTCTGAAAAAAACCGCTGTCTTAGTGCTTTAAAATTACTTATCAATTTCCAGAACAGTTTTTTTCTGTAGTAAAATTCGTCGAAAAAATAAAGAGAAAACCGAACGGAATTCAACTACCTCCAAAGCAACATACGCAAATTTTCCACTAATTGTTCCAAGGACATAGGGTGAGCCGCTATCATTGAATACGACCGAAACAAAGTCATTTCCAATAAACTTTTTCTTGCAGTTGCAAAGCGGATCAATTTCGCTTTTTGGCATTAACGTCGCTGAAGTAATAATTATATTAGTTGTGGTTCGAAAATTAAAGAAAACCCTCGTAATGTTCTCCTGTACGTTTGACATATTCAAATTTCATTTTTGCTGTATTCATGACAAACGATTTACTTAACCCATTTTATAATTAACTGGAACATACCCACATGGAAAACAGTTTTGGAAATTTCATCCGTATATGCATATGTAAATGTGCCACAAAAACCAGCTGAGAGACCGCCCGGACAATCTTCGAGAGGTATCGGATCACCCAGAAGTCTAAAACTTCAACACATAACAAACTGGTTCGCAATCTAATACTTCGGTCATATATGATATCCAAAAAAATACCGTAAGAAACTAGCGTAACGCGCCGAACCATAAATATTTCCCAAAATTTCGGATTCCTTAGTCTGGCCATGTGCAACATAGACAACACCAACCGTGTGCAACTCAAGTGACGATATACGATCGATGTTGCGTAAAGACCTCAATCTATAAAAAGTGCTGTGCAAGCACTACTCTTTATCACAAGATTTTCTAATTTCTCGAAGTAAAGCACTAAGAAATCTTAAAAACAGTGAGAATTACGTTTTATTTTTGTCACCAGATATTTGTACAGCTTTGTTATCACTTGCAAGAAGTTTTAAAATCGAGAATCCCTCATCAATGCCACAGAAATTGTCCGCTAAAATATAGAAAGTAATTTTCTATTCAGAACAACTACTGTAATATTTAAATTTTGTAAATTTACGTTTGTTTTTACAACCTTGCAATAGTTTAAAAATTATGGCCATATAAAATGATAGATTTGGTCATCTTCATGAACGTTATTTACATTAAAAATCGTGTGAAGTAGTACACTAACTGATTACATATGTAAGTCCAATTCATTATAAAAATAAGTTCAACATAAAATTTCATTTAGACTTCTTTTATCCCCTGCAAAATTAATACTGAATAAATAGCTACCAACCTGCTCCAAAATCGTCAGGGAAATCTTTCAATGATCGCATGTACCATGAATGTTTGCCAAAAATATGCCGTATAACAACCTGAATCCACGTCACCACCGGAACACGAACTTTTTTTGATTCATATTTCGCCATTGTATATAAATCATCCAAAATTGGGCGGTATGGAGCTACATATTTCCTTGAAAAATGCAATATGTTTTTATCTGCATTTAGAGGGAATTCTTGAATTATAAATTAAATGACAAAAATGAATAAAATAATACTGGTTTGGGCGATGAACCGCTGACTGATGGCGTCGTCTTCTATCAAAATTTGATATTTCTATATCTGGAATCTCTGCTGATGGATTTTCGTCATTAGCATCTAAAACCAATCTCCAATTAATTATTTGGCAATAGCTTAATGCCCATTAAACAAAATAAGCTACAGAACATTGCAGGAAAATTTCATTATGTATAATGGCAAAATTTTGAGACGTTCTAAAAAGCCGATTCAGAAAATAGGTACTACATTGAGCTTATCTGACAGAGGTCACCCTCTTATCAATATAGACTTTTTATGCTTTAATAAACCTGCACAACAAATAGTAGCACTTACTCGCTGAGATTGTCCTACTCGTTGAACTTGATAGACTTTCAGTAAAACCTGTGACAGAAATGACTATATCATTTACAACCCAATGGCTTGACCATCGTTCCACCAGCTTCGTATTTGGCATCGATTGAGTGAGTGCTGCGTCACTAATTTTGCTGTGCTTCATGAATGTCTTTAATGCTTTAATTGTTTCTTGGGCCAACTATAACGTTAACAAAATTTAAATAATAGATAATTTAATATATTTCATATCGCTACATTTTGTAACATTTCTAAATTTCTAAATTTAGTTCCCAAATTTCTCGGATGATTTCAGTTATAGAAACAAGAATAACAAACGAGTGTCAGAAAATAGAAACTTCATCTCTCAGAATATTATCATCAGTTGTAATTGTATCTTTTCGACTAGATGAATCAAACGAAAAGGCAGCAATGGTTGGTGTATCAAAATCAGATGAATGTCGTTCATCTGAATGATTTTTTGCATTTATGACGTTCGACAGACAAGTTTTTGCTTCTTCAATCTGCAAAACACATCAAAGTAACGATATTCATAAGATGGAAAAATTAGTTTATCAGATTTTTGTCAAATATTAGCAAAAACTCTAATTTTCTCTCATACTGATACCTTATTCACAATATAATTACATATCGTTGGTTTTATTCTATCTGGCATTTTAGTGTACCATCTCATTAGTGCACGAAATGCAGCGGCAACAATGAAAGTGTTGTACCGATAAACGCTTGTATACGGTGCCAATATGTCAATAACAAATTGGAAGTGCTTGATCTGCAAATAAAACCAATTATGAAAATGTGCCAAAATATTCTTCTACCTACTTACATAAATTTTTATATCGCTTTTCTAAATAGCATTGCTTTCACTGACTATTCCATATTTGTCCAATTCACGAAAAATCTTTCAAAAAAACTGTTATCCTGCATGCCTAGATGAAATTATGCATGCAAAATTAACAAGAAACGATTCATAAAAAACAACTTAAAACCTCGAAAAATTGATAGAACTCCGGCACGGAGGAGCAGTCCGAAGCTAATTCGATAACAGAGATAGCAAGGACGGCACTTGGGTGAAGACCTGCCAAATGTGTTATTAACTGCCGAGCTAATGGTGCCATGCCATCAGGCAGCATCTGAACTGCTAGGTCACAAGCCATTATCGCCTGAAAAATTTTTTAATGCTCCAGAAAACTCCCGAAAAAAAAAATTTTTTCAATGTGGTTTCATGCGAAGAAACTTATTAATGAATGAGAAGATTCATTCACAACAAAAAATGGAAAGACCACTTTTCAAGTATATGAATTAATGAATCACAACAAACCTGCTGACATCCACTTGGAAGGGAAGGAACGCAGTCAACCATAATTTTACAAATACTTTCATCATGATAATAGTTAATTAGACAACTAAAAATAGGACAAATATATTTCGGTAGGTCGATTTCGCTTTTATGTGACCAGGTTGCAGCTAGATCGGTATCAGAAATCAAAGTACTGCGTCTGCAAAAAGAGCAAGGGTGAATTCATGAACCATCAAACATGACGATCTTCAATTTACAAAAACCCTGTTTTACGAATTATTGGTTCAATATTATCTATGGCCCAAAAATATCCATTTTCTTCCTTCACAAATGCTAACAAAAACGATAAAGACATTTCGATAGCCGTTTTCTACATCAAAAAACGAATGAAATGCAAATGTGAAAAAGAACCCAAACAGTAGGACAACTTAATTACAGAACAAACCTATAGTATAATGCAATTATAGCATTCTTCAGTTTTTTTATGCGTTCAGCACCAGCCGTGAAAATTAAATCTCGAACTTCCACTATCCGACACAATCGTTGCAAAATTATTTTCATAACTGGAAACCTGAAATAATACGAGTATTGTAATAAAGTTTCAAGCAATCGCATAAATTGTCATTCACTATCTCGAAAATTACACGAGGAATCCAGTTAATGACCCAGATCGTGGAATAGTTTAATTGTCTAGGTTAGCAACTAGCACCGAATATCGGTAAATAATCATCATCTATAAAAATGATTCACTGAAATGTTCAAGACGAATTAAATTTTTATCAAAATAAAAATTCGAAATTACCAGAGCTCCTCTTCAATGGCTTTTATAACCACTGCGCATATTTCGTCCCATTCAAAATCGCCATTAGTATCATTCCCAGCACGACATATTCGCACATTAGTTACGTCTCCAAATTCACCAATACAAACTGCATCAAAATAACTGACGAATATGGAATGAATTTAAAGATTTTAAAAATTACGATTAAATATAAAGAACAGTAATCTGAAATAACTAAAGAAAAAAATAACTAAAGACTCAAGAAATAACTAAAAATTCCTTGATTGTTGTTGATAATTTGATTAATATTATAATATAATACCCATTTCTTCGGAAGGTGGATTACAAACAAGAGTTAACAATGCGGAAAATATGCGTTCCCGTATTTCACAACCAATTTCACGAACAAAGCCATGCTGATAATGAGAATGAAGATGTTCACAAAGCATATGAACAATATAATGAAGATGAGCGCTCCGCAAATCAGAAAAACGTTCAGCTAAAACTTGACATACATCGCCTGCTACTATTTCCATATTTTCAAGAACTTCTGAAACAAAGACTATACAGTATATCATGATGTATCATAAAATTTCTTTGAGGATTAAGAAATTGTTTATAGATCTAATTAATCTCGCTCTCGAAAAAATGAAGTAATAGAAAAACAAATGGTCCTCTTCCATTTCCATGAATCCCAAAGTTATACAATAGTTCTAATTATTCTTCAAACAAACCTCCAGTATCGAGATCAAGTGCAAGAAATGAACTGGCAATCTCCATTACCATCAAAAACAAGTCTGCATCTTCAGATTCACGCAAAGACACTGTTTTTGCAACATCAAATAACACATTCAGCATTTGGTACTGAAGTTTAAAATAACTTTTTCCAAACTCTGCAGGACACATAGGAATAATGATTTTTGAATTTGTTCAATGCTAAATATTCTACCAAATCGTATTCCCTCTATTTTGATAATAGAAAATATTGAACAAACGGATTCCCACCTAATCGTACGAACGATTTTAGTTTATTATATACAATTTATTTAAGTTCACAAGGTTGAGAATTTTAAAACAGAAATTACCAATATTTGCAATAAATCAACATCATCTTGAATGATATTAATGAAACAAACCTGAATTTTGGCATTATTTTCACGAACACAACCTTCAAGCACAGGACAAACAAAATCTGTAACGACAGCTCTCTCGTGTAGCCAATGATATTTCATATAAACCGTGTGTAGGACGCTGACTGCTTTCTCCCTTAAATCAATATCCAATAATTACAACTTAATAATGATATGAATCTTAACCTCAACATCTTTCTCAAGGGCGTATTAGTCGCATTCTCATAAAATTAAAATGTTGACGGACCTAACTGCAGCAGGATAGTTGTCTTGAAGATGTTTTTGAACAAGTTGTTGAAGAGTATTAAGCCAATTCGATATTAAAGGATCCAAACACTTGAAAAAAATTGATATATAGATGACAAACAATTAAATAATTTATTGAGCAATCCATCAAGTTCACTGTTAAATTCATAATGAATTTACTTTGTACTGTACATTAACCATTCAATTACGCTTATCAACTGTACTACAAAATATAATAAAATTCAAAAGTAAAAACTTACAGCCACTCGGTAATCAAATAATGATATGATGCTTGGAACGGGACGCTCATCGATGCAACCTTCTATTAGTGAATACAGCATTTCAGGGGAACCGGCATAATAACCATCATGATACAAATTCTCAATGACGCTGAGTAAATGATGAGCACGTGACCGTTGCTCGTCAACTTTCTCTTTCCACGATACCTGCCAAATAAAAATAAAATAACAACAGTTGAAGCAGATTTTTTTTTCCTCCACATTTGAAATCATTTATTTACAATCTCAACATTAGTTTTTTATTTTTTTAATTAAAGTTGATCGTTCCTGTTATATAAACCACAAAAATGAAGTAATGAATTTTTCCCATAAGTGATAGGGATTTCAAAGAAATTCGCAAACTTCTCAAGTTGAAATACAACGGTACATACTTGTTCACAAAGCCTTAAAGCCTGCTTAAGGAGTCGCAAGATACAGTGCCAACTTAACTGCTGCAGATTTTTCCCGCTCGCATTTAGTAATCGTCGGATGGCAACCAACACTTCATTTACAACTTGAGGATCTGTTTCCATCGCTGGCAACATGTTTGGCAGAGCGACACTTGGATGACAATGCAAATTATCAATATGCTGCAAATAAACTAAATGCTTTCATATTCATCACGATTTCAGGTCTTGAAAAACTTTTCCTTATGAACCTACTACCTTACAAGACTTGAACTATTTCCATTTCCATCTCATGCCTATTATTTGTCAGAATCGTAGCTACGAATGGGAAAAACCTTTTGAAGAATTACTGCGTACTGAAATGTTTTGCATTTCAAAATGTATCATCTTTCACTAAACAAAAGCTGGAATGCCATAAGGAAATCGATAAATATCAGAAAAAGATAAATCTTCATACTTAAATCTTATTAAAAAACCTATAGAGACTGCTGTAAATTATATAAACAATAAATGGTTAAGACAACTTACTTGTTGACTCCAGAGAGAAGTATGTATACAGTATATGGCACCCACAAGAACTTGCGTTTTCGGACAATTGGCACTATCTCTCAATAAATCAAGCATCAGTTTTATAACATTATGGCCATAATGAGATCCCAGTAAATCTCTCATTACGTTCCATGCAGTGGAACCCCATTTCTGCTGATTCATTACTGAACATAGTGTCGTTATTAACATCAACAGCTTCGTATCTGGGATGCGTCTGTAAACGATAAATCAAATTATAACTACGTGTATGGGTAATTTTAAATAAATTATCTAATAATTATGCTAGTTGCAACTTTCGTGTAATAATACACAGAAAACAGAATTTTATAAACTGAAAATTAAATTATACCCATATTTTAAAATAATTCCTAGTAGCAATAAACATTCATAAGTCAAATGATCTGCTTTACGACATATCCTTAAGCAAATATTATGAACAACATCATCAATATCCTTGTTTGTAATAAAACCAGCATTTGTTCTGCAAATAAAATAAATTCATTAGCAGTAAATGTCAAATAATCAGAAATAAAATCAACCAGTGAATAAATCTAAATTCATTCCTCTAAATTCCTTGAAACATAAAGCTTATTTCAAGCATAAATTTAAGAAAAGGTAGATGAGTGGAAATTTCATGAACACATAATGTTTGTGACTTTCATAATTTTGAAGTATGGATTTCACATAAATTGTGATTAACCGCACTTTATGACTTGCTGTGTGAGCTGAAGTACTCGAACAGCATGACGATGATCCATCATATTTAAATCTAGCACTTCTCGAAGCCAACTAAGCTGAAGATTCATGAAATCATATTCGAAACCTGTTACTTGATCACCATTCATCGATAGAGCTACGAACCATTCCAGAGATAGATCATTAAGACCCATGGAGCGAATTAGCTATAAAGAAACGTTTTAAATGAATTCTTTAAATGTGCTCAAGACTTTTATGTCAATCAATGTTAAATTTATTAACACACTTGACACTAGAAAAGTAATTTTTTTAGTGTCAAATGTGTTAATAAACTCGAAATTTTAGAGAACTCGAATCATACAGAAAAAAATGTGTCGCGCATTGCCAAACCAAGTTGATCTAACTGATATTCAGTGAGAGTAATAAATGTTTTCAGGAATGAATCCTTTGCTTCATCCATTTCGTAAAGATCTTTGGTCTCGTGATACAGTGCTTCAACGGTGCATATTTGTAGTCGTCTGGTTCTAACGATCTGATAAATTCTATGGCAGTTTAAAATTTTATGCATCCTTTTTCCCCAACCTTTTCACTCTCAAAATAATTTTAACTTGAGCGCAAAGTTTTTCTCCTCTCAAATTTGAACCTTTAAAATTTAAATTTAAATACTCACATATAACTGTCCTCCATGTAACTGGAAAATTTGGAATTAACAAAAGGCAATAATAAAAGGATCTATAGAAATTCAAAACAGTTTGAAAGCTTAACTTAAATGAAACTTGACATCTGAACCTATCTTATATCTAAACGATCAATCATATAGGCTGATGGTTGTCAGTGAAGCAATCTGTACCGATTCTAATTGCTCCATTGCTTTTATCCGAGTCGACAGCGAACTACCAGACCCTAATTCAAGCCATGCTGCTTGACTGATTGAGCCCTCACTGAAATTGCATTAATAAAGTTATATTAAGAAATAACTGAGCGGATATGCTTCCACCTTCCTCCCCACCCTTCATAATATTTTTTTTGCTTAGAAATCACATTCTGTCCATCTTGAACAAAAAAATAACTGACTATTTAAATAAACATGCTTGTTGTTCTGGTAAATGCATAGTACAATAACCTGTTCAGGAAATGCTGAATATCGTCACTGTCTTTTCGACTGAATATTGCTGAAAGGAAGCCTCGCCTCGATAACGGCATGCTTACCAGATACGGACTGGAGAACGCATGCGTATTTCTAAATTAGCAATTATGTGCATCAGTAAAAATGATAATATTGTGTTGCTATGCCAAACTTCACTAATCTTTCCCATCTTTCAAAAATAAATTTAATAAATTTTCTATTTAAAAACAGCAAATCAAAAGGATCAGGACTTCTTATAAAGTTACCAATGAAAATTTGAAAAAAAAAATACAAACGCACATCACTTGCTGACAAATTCAGCGTTTGCTCGAATGCTGCGAATGCTCAATTTGTTTTGTTGTTTCTTATGTAAGTTATGATTCAGACATCTGTACATTTATATCATGAAAAAAACTTAATAAGTGTAAACAGCAATTTAATAAGAAGTGTAAATGGTTAAACAATGATCAAAGGCAAGAATAAGAAGTATAGCAAAGAAATGAGAAAAATTCTGCTCTCCAGCATAGACTAATGGAATTAATTAGTAGAATTAATTAGGATTAATTAGGGAGAGGGCTATATCGTTTTCTCATAATGTCATAATACAAACATAGGTTAAAAAAAGAATTAAAATAACACCACTGACTGCTTTCGTCTTCCGATCCTCTCGCCCGGCTCCACCTAACCTCACGCATTCCCGCCTTACAATTTTTTTTTCAGGAAATCTAATCGAATTCCATTTTGTGAAATTAAGGTGAAGAGCAATGTGAAACTGTTGATCTCACCCACTCTCTACTTTTTAAGATTACAGTACTTCAATTCACAAGGCATTATTATTAAAATATGAGAGAATAAGTAAACGTTTTGCTATGTTTTGTGTAAGGGAAGGATTTTAGCGATAAGCAAAGAAATTACGAAGGGTCACAATACTGAGACTGATAATCTCGAAAAACATTTCAGTAATCTTTTCCTACTGCTGCTGATATACTTTGATCTTTATTTCCGCTAAGATTTATCATTTGAATTTAGAATCACTGATGTTTAGAGATGGTGTCACTTACATTTATAAATGAGAAATTCACACATTAAAAGATTTAATAAACAATCCAAATTAAAATTTGATGAGAAGCGAAAGGAAACCTACTTATTGATTGACAAATAATATAATTGAAATTGAAAAGCAATGACTAACAAGAAGCAGCTATATTTCATCCTGAAAAGTTTTATTTACTTCAACTAAGTCAAATACAGAGCAAAGTCAGTCAACAAAATACTTCGGCTAATGATTGTAAATTAATACTTTGTTGGGGAATTACTTAATTTGAGAAACAACTAATGACTATAAGTCCAATAAAAATTTGCGAAAAGTGTACTTTGAAATAGGCAAAAAGATAGAGAAGTAAAAAAATTCGATTTTCGCTCCAATTATATTTTGCACGCTTCAAACTTTTCGAAAATTTTAATTTCAACATTGCGTTGTCGAACAGCGTGGGAAAAATGCAACAATTTAACTAACTTTGATATTTGATTCCTATCATGTTAATTGATCACTCAGAGGATATTTCCTGAATCACTGCAAAAAGTAGTTTAAAGTTAAAACTTGAAAAACCTTACTTAAATTTCAAACGTTTGAAATAAGAAAAAAATACTGTTTTGAAAGAAAGAAAAAAAATACTGTTTTGAAATTTCGTTTGCAAAATTTCGGTTCTGTTTCATTCTTTGATTGTACGAATGACAGTCGCGTGACGAGATTAAACTAAATTTTACTTTCATTAATTCCATCGTGTAGCGATAATTTCTGCTAACAATTCATAAATCATCAGCGTTAGTGGGAGAAAAAGAGACTACATGAGCATACATATTACAGCAATTCTCGATGAGCAGTAGTAGCAGCAGCAGCTGTGGTTTTTCTATCTTTGAAGTATTGAGCCTCATCTTACCTCTTATCATTTCCTACCACTTCAAGTGATAAGTGAAAGGTTGCTTCGCTCAAGTTTATTTATTCATTGTTTTCCTCCTTCCTCTCTCTCTCTCTCTCTCCCTTTCTCTCTTCTTTGTTCTTTTGCTATTTAAAGTAATCAACTCCATTAATGTCTCCTTAACAATTAGTAATTCGATATAATAGCTGTTACTAAATCAATCTGAGCATCCAATCCATTCATCGGAATTCATTTGCTATCGCTATGATCCAAAATTGCAGAAATACGATGAATCAGATATCCTTGAAGCTTTTCAGTAAGTCTTAAGTATATTAGCTAAGTAACTATCGCTTTGATAAATTGATATATCCTGTCAAAGAGATAGTTACTTGGTCAGTTTTTGTCTTCCTTTCTATTACCACTTCATAAATTATTAACTTTAACAGTTATATATGCACTCAAATCGTTCATAAATTGAAATTCTTTTAACCTAATATTAGCGTGTAAAAGTATAGAAAATGATATGAAAAAGAATAACAATTATTAGGCAATTGCTAAGTTATATTAAATCAAATAAACTAATTAAGCCAAAGTTAAAACTCAATTGAATAATAGCCAGAAACTTATTTTATTCGATTTATCATTTCAAGTGGAATATTTGCTATTATTTAAAATTATCTCTTCTTTATTTACTTTACTTTCTATTAGTTCATTATATCATATCTACTTTTGTACATATCTGTTGATTTCTCAATTTAATTCACTTATAATGCTCGTCTTCATTAAAAAATTAATTCCTTTGATATCAAATATCATTGCAACGTTTATAAATGAGAATTTTTAGTATTTGTAACAATAATAGTAACAATAATAAAGTAATTGTAATAGTTGAGATATTTGTTGAACAGATGTTTCTTGAAGAATGCTTCTATGTTTATGACACACGCATACACATACACATACACACACATACGCACACACACACACACACACACACAC